TATAACACCTATAAAAATTAGACAATGATTTTAATAATTTTAAAATCTTTTTTTTTCTAAGTTTATTCTTCCAGATTATCTCATTTTAATCTCCCAGCAACTCTAAAGAGAAAGTGATTTTTTTTTCTTATTAATGAGATGAGCTCTGGAGAGATTTATATGTATGGCTCTTATTAACACACTGATAATGATAATAGCTTAAGCTCTGTCTCAACATCCCCCACTATAGAACAGGTACAATGATTACTTATGCTGCCAAACATGAGTCAGAAAACAAAAAGATTGCAGAGCTGTAGGGACTTACAAATATCTGTCTAGAAGGTGACATTCATTTGCCTTACAGTACCCACACCAAGAGAAAGAGGGGCATTCTGCCTCACTTGCTCACGTTGGCTGAGATTTGTGATTGTTAAGGAACATTTAGAACATTAAAAATATATATCAACAATCCAATAAAACAGATCAGATCATATGTAAATGAATAGTTTGTATTTGTATGTCCATGTATAATTAATATAAATACATATACATTTAAGACAGATACTATTGAATTCAGTCTACATGATAATCAATGTCAAGCCAGAGATGGCCTATGGATTAAGTTCCACTTGAAACAAATAAATATCCATTCCTATGTATTAGGAATATGACACTGTTCCAATCACATAAGATGAAATAGATTTCTAATTTAATTCATTTTAGATTACTTCAGAGGGAGAAGAAGGAAAGTAACTTGGCAAACACTGAGGGGCCTTGGAATTATTCAGCTAAGACATAAGACCATCAAACGGCTCCAGAAAAACTTATTTCCTATATAAATATTCCTATAATTTGCCCATTCAAACTAATTGGCATTAATTTGAAAATACCTCTGAAATGAGTGTTCTTTTTTGAGAATTGTGATAGAAGTTTGGGGCTTTGGTGTCATAATTCTTATATTGTTTTTTTTTTTGGAGTTTTTACTGCAGGTGTAGATTGGAGGTGGGGAGAGTGGGAAGCTGGTTTTGTTTTACCTTCCATGGTATCCTCCATTAATATTAATTTCTCAGGACAATGTATCATTTTACCTCCTTGTAGCTATTAAGTTCAATACCATAAAATCCACTATTATCTGTGTTTGTGCTTATCCAAAAACATTGTTTTGGTAGGTAAACAGTCTGCTTCTCCTTCATTTCAGCAAGGATAGCTGAGAAGGCTGAGATGTTATAAGACCAGAGCATACTTGTAAAATATTGGTGCAGCAGAACTTTTTTTGATATCATCATGAAGTATCCAATGGATGGACCTGAAATATTTTTCTTTCATTAACAAATTTGTTCTACCTTGTTTTCTCCTATTTAGCTTCTTGGTGCCAGTAGAATTTGTATAGTATCCAAAATCTGAAAATAAGTCACCTATTTGGGGTTTGTTGTATGGCTCGTACCCTGTAACTATTTCTGGGGAAGATGCTGGATTTGCTGTGTACATGTGTGCACACATGTGTGTGTGGCAATAAAACTATCAACACTATTTTAAAAAATTTTTAAACAGCTTTACTGAGACAGAATTCACATACCACTAATTCACAGTGATTTGTAAAATGCTCAACTCAATGGATTTTAGCATATTACAGATATCTGTAAATATCACGAATTTTAGAACATTTTCATCACATGAAAAAGAAACTCCTAATCCTTGTACTTTGGGAGGCCAGGGTGAGTGGATCACTTGAGGTCAGGAGTTCAAGACGAGCCTGGGCAACATGGCAAAACCCTGTCTCTACTACAAATACAAAAATTAGCCGGGTGTTGTGGCACATGCCTGTAGGTCCAGCTACTCAGGAGGCTGAGGCAGGCGAATCCTTTGAACCCAGGAGATGGGGGCTGCAGTGAGCTGGATCATGCAGCTGCACTCCAGTCTATGAAACAGAGTGAGACTTCATCTCATAAGAAAAAGAAAAACCTAACAAACAAAAAGTACCAAAATTAGCTGGGTATGGTTGTGTGCACCTCTAATCCCAGCTACTCAGGAGGCTGGGGTGGGAGAATCACTTGAACCTAGGAGGCAGAGGTTGCAGTGAGCGGAGTTCGCACTGTTGCACTCCAGCCTGCAGAACACAGCAAGATTCTGTCTCAAAAAAAAAAAAAAAAAAAAAAAGAAAAGAAAAAAAAAGAAACTCCATACTCTTTAGATATCACTCCCTATCCACCCATACTCTCTCCAGCCCTAAATGATCACTAATGTACTTTCTGTCTCTACAGATTTCTGTATTCTAGACTTTCATATGAATGGAATATTTGTGACTGGCTTCTTTCACTCAGCCTGTTTCCAGTTTTATCTAAGTTGTAGCATATATCAGTACTTCATTCCTTTGGATGGCTGAATAATATTCCATTACATGAATATACTACATTTTGTTTATTCATTTGCGCACAGCAGGACAGTTAGTTCTGACCTTTTGACTATTTTGAATGATGCTACCACAGACATTTGTGTATGTTTTTATGTAGACATAGGTTTTTATTTTTCTTGGATATAAACCTAGGAGTGGAATTGTTGGGTCATATGGTAACTCTATGTTTAATCATTGAAAAAACTTTCAGACTGTTTTACAAAGTGGTTGTACCATTTTACATTCCCACCAGCAGTTTCTACCACCAATTTCTCTACACCTTGCCTGGGTTTACCTTTGAACAATATTGCTTTGCCTAGGATGACGGAATAGAATGACAGAAGAGCAACAGCCCAATGACACAGTAGAGATCACTCCAGCCCTAGATGGCCTACCTTCCAACTTAAGTGAGAGAACATAAACCTGTTTCATTTAATCCACGGCTATTCCAAGTCTCTGTGAGCAGCTTAACACAAATCCAACTCATGTAGTCCTATTAGCATATCTTGAATCTAGGAAGGTCTTGGGAAAAAATTATTGAATATGGAAAGATTTTTTTCATGGAAAAGCTTCTTTGTCATCCTGTTGTACACTGAAAAATGCACTTTCTTTCTCTCCTAATTTCTCATCCCATCAGTCAGTAGCCATTTTCCTTACAGATTGTTTCAGGTTCTCCCTAGCACCCCACTGGTGTTCTGCAAGATGGAAATAACAATTTGTTATTCAGAAGCAAATGCAAGTGTTATCGATGAAGCCAATTTTTCTAATGAGAAGGAAAAGGTGGCCAGGCACGGTGGCTCAAGCCTGTAATCCCAGCACTCTGTGAGGCCAAGGTGGGCAGATCACAAGGTCAGGAGATCGAGACCATCCTGGCCAACGTGGTGAAACCCCGTCTCTAAAAAGGAAAAGCACTCTTTGTGATGATGGAGAATGAGCCAGAGTTGTTTGTTATTTCCTTTCTCAAATATTATCCTAAGTGTTAGGACAATAATTAGAATGATGAAAAGTCATTTAAGGTTTTCTCCTAAACTCTCTGGGAGCCAAGAGAATTTCAGTGCCATGTTGACTAGACAATGCTTGTATCACATATTTGTTCTCTTTTAGACATTGCTTTTGAAGCCACTTTTAGCCTATGTAACATGTTAGACTCCCAGTCAGTTTTCACCTTAGAATTCAGAAAGGTAAAGGGAAAACTGTGTAATTAATTGCAGCTAAGCTGTCCCTTTTTTTCCCATCGGATTTTTGTTCCAATCCTCTGCATTTTGAGGGGATACTCTGAAGACACACACAACCTGCCATTCAACTGGCTGTCTTGTAACTGATTTAAATATCTGCCCTCAAAGCCAGCGATTGACTAGTGGGGCTTCTGATAAGTTTTCACTTAACTGGTAAATCACTACTGATAGAAAGAAGAGCGTTATAAAGTCAGAAAATACTTTTTTCGTGTAATTTAGTCCTTTCTCAATGCTTCTATTAACTGATGATACACTCAGTCAACATTTATTGAGCAACCTATGATGTTCATTATGGCACTTCATTCTGTTAAAGAATAATAATCTCTTTATCCTTTTAACTCCTGATAATAGATTTTTTACACATAAGTTTACAGTTCTTGGAATCAATGTATCTTAAAATATCTTAATCATCTCTTTTGTAAGGAAGCCTTTCTCATTTTCAAGGCTTTGGGTTTTTGTTTTTGTTTTGTTTTTTTCTTATTACATACAGCAAAGTCATTTGGCTTGCGTTGTTAACAGGTTAGTTTGAATGTTTCTTATAAAAGCCAAATATATAGAAGCAATGCTTTTGTCTCTAAAAGTTTCTTCTGAATCTTAGCTCTTCAACAATTTGCTATTTCGTAGACCATATTCATGATTTGTTTACTCATATACACTTATTAAGGAGCTGTTTACTCAGCTCCAAAATTTGTGTTAGACTAGGACAGGCTCAAATCTGTAACAAACAGAATCCCCAAAGAGTAACTTTAAAGGTTATGTAAATTTCTGGGGCTATGCTATCTTACTATCTTTCTACTAAAATGTCAACATCTATACTTTTTCTCCATCCATTCTGGCAAGGCACCATGCTATCTTGAGATTAAGCTAAGTCTCCTGGTTCAGATTCAAATCCCTGCTCAATAATCTCTTTGTGGCACTCTGGGCAGTGTCTTCATCTGTAAAATCGGGATAATGATTTTACCTACCGTATTGGGTTGCTGTTAAGAATTAAACGTAAAGCACACAGAATGTGCCGGGCACATAGCTGGCACTCCATCCATGTTAGCGCAGGATTTCAGATTTGTCAGCATCATTACTCAGTAACTATCATTCTGTCCTTTTAAATTGTTTCAGCGACGACTAAATGAACTTACATATAAACATACAACACAACCAGAGATGGAGTGATTGTACATGGAGGTCTCATTTTCACATAGATAACATTAGGAAGCAACTACTCCAACACTTTTTCTTCCTGTGATCTGTACACTGCAGGGTCTCTAGAAACAATGGTTTGGTTCTTTCCTGGTGACAAAGGATAAGAGAAGATGATACTGCTATAAATGGCAATAACTTAAAAATAAAAGATACAGAAACCTATGGGAATGAAAAATATATGCCTATACATACACAGCTGTTTTTAAAATATATCCTTTATTCTTTAAGCTCAAACTTGATTTCCAGGTACAGCAGGCCTCTAACTTTTCTTGGCAAAGTCATGAAGCCTCCTGTCCTCTAAAGCCACAGAAATTTAACCTAGAAGCAAGCAGCAGGCACTGGGCACAGCACGGAGGGAACCCTGGGGTGTACGCCTTGGCTCCCACCTGTCAGCCAGGTCATTGTGACGCAAACGCTACGGCCACGTGGAACACCTGCCGGGGAGCAGGGGCGGGGTCACTCTGGGCGGTGGATCCGAGCGGGGGATACCCCAGGAGATGGGGGTCGAGGAGAGACGCCTGGGAGTGGAGAGAGAGAGACTCACTCCCCCAGTCCCCGACCCGCCCCAAGCAAGGTGAGGCCAACCCCACCCACCTCCCTGTGGTCGCCCTCGGAGGGGGTCGCCCCGGCGGGCGTTTGCGGGAGGGAAGAAGCGGGGAAGGGAGGCGGCGGCGGAGCCCAGGCGACGGTCAGTAGCCGGGTGGCGAGGGCGCCCGCTCCCCCCGGCCGCTGCGCTGCGCTGCGGCGCGCACGGGCACCGCCGGCTGCTATTCCGGCTGGTGGCGGCCGCCGCAGGAAGGGCCGGCTCCTGCGCTCCCCCGCCCCTTTCCCTCGCCTTCGGCTGACGCTGACGTCGGATGAGGGATCCGGAGGGACGCTCCGACCGCGGCCGGGAGGCTCCCGGGGGCCGGGGCTCCGAGGTACCTGCCCTCCGGGGTTGGGGCGGGGGCGCGCCGGGCGGGCTGCAGGCGGCAGCGGGAGACGCCCGGCAGCCGGGACGGTCGGGGACGCCTGGTAGGAGCTGCCTCCTCTGCCCTCCGCGGGCGGCGCGTGATAGGCGGGTCGCCTCCTCGGGTCCCGGATCCTGGTGCGGGAACCCCATCAGCCCCTTCCCCTCCCCCGCCTCCTCCCTCCGGCCTGGGAAGGTCTGGAGGATGCGCGCGCCATGAGGGCGTGCGTCAGCCCCGGGGGAGCGGGAGGGAAGCGTTCTGCGCTCCAGCCCCAGCGCTGGGAGCACCGGCACCCACGCCAGCCGCCCCACCCACCAACCCCGCGCCTCGACTTCCCCGCGGCCCCGGCCCCAGGACCCCGAGCTCCCTGGTGGGCAGGGACTCGCGGCCGGGGTTGACTTGTTGACAAGTTCACCTGCTGCGGCGCCTGGTGTGTGCTTTTTCTCTTCCCCCGTGGCCCGTTTTTGGCAGGGGCGGCAGAGAGCTTATGCGTACCTCTTTATAACCACTGGTGTCAGGAGGCCTGAGCTGGGTGCCCCGCGGGCGAGGTGTTCACCAGTCTCGGACTAGACGGGGCGAGAGCCCCTAAGCAACCCGGGTTCTAGCAAACCCTGGCGCTCCTGTTTCCTTTGGGTGCTGCTGACTCCGCCTTTCCTACTCCGGGGCTATTGCAGCTCCTGCTTCCTCTAGAAAAGAACATATCCTGTTGTTATGTCTGCCTTTCCCCCAAAGCGGCTCTCCATGAACCTTTCCCACGGTCTTTTTACTTGTGATGCTCCAAAGCCCCTGAGCTTCTCTTTGGGGTCTTAAAAGTATCGCGCCTTTATGCTGGCAAAGGGCATTAACTGCCTGGTTTGGGAGAGTTAGTTTGGAAAGAATAGCATTCTCTTCTTTTAGATGGCATTAAAAAATCGGCACAAGAAAGGATTTTGTTCATGAATCTTGGTGGCAGCCTTAGTAACTGAGACCTAGTAACTGTATAAAAATTATCAAGGCCTAGAAAATATGTCACCAGCTGCTTTGGGAGTGATACTGAATGTAGGAAGAAAGGCACATAAGCGTTCATTGGCCCTTAAGGTCCTATAAATTATGACTCATCGCAAACATGTTTTTGCCCATACATTTCGGTGAAGTCTCTTAAGAAAATCTCAAATTGATTTCTGTGACCCTCTGGTTTGAATCTGAGATTTGAACTGTTGCAGGGAGGCGGGGGGAGTGAAACAAGAAATGCTTAGTTTGAAATCTAGCTCCCGATGCAATTTCTTACCCCCTATTTAAAATAAACACACACTCTCTAAAAGTGCTTTTAAGAAAGTTTTCAAACCAAAGATATCTTTTTAGATTTCAGTCTTTATTTTTGAAACACCCTTTGTAGAGAATACCACAGGGACAAAATCAATTTATAATTCTTAATGGCTCAAATATCACTCTTTGATTTTATACTACATATATATATATATATATATATATATTTTTAATTGCAAGAGATGTTGCTTTCTAATTGTTTCTGTTTGTATTACAAAGGGAAATAATTGTACTGATTATAAAGATGAGTCTTTAGAAAACATAGCAGTTAAACTACAGAGGGCTACTCGTGGAGAGACCTGATGTTAAAAAGTCTAACCCTGTTTTCTTCACCCAGGGATCATTGAATGCTAAAGACACTGGATAGTAATTGCCTGGGTGGTTTATTTTGTAACTGTTTTCTCCCATTTGGAACACCTGAATAATTATCTCACTGCTTTCTCTACGCATAGCAGTGCATCTCTCCACATCAACCTTATGAAAAGTATAGAAAATTTTGTTACTCGGAGCCTTCAAAAATCCCTACATTTTCAAGGCATTTGACTAAATAGTACGTTTTGTCAGGTGCAAGCAGCGTTATCAGCAGTATGGAGGTGTGGCAACTATGCTATGTCATAGGAGGATAAACCTGTGTTTGGTACGAACTTTTAAGATTACAGAAACTGCGACCAGGAGATGGGGAGGAAGTTGACAGGCCACAGGGACAGGAAGAGTGTTTCCTCTTAGTTGGTTGAGCCTGACAGCTAGAAGCCTGAAGGGAAGGTGGCAGTGTTTATAATCAGCAGGCTGGTCACTAGTGTCCTTTTTTTCCGTCTGCATTATCAGATTTATGGGAAGCATTAATGAGGATGCTATCTGCATGTTTTTCTCCATGAGGCAACACAGATCACTAATGAACCTTACATCCTAATCTCATCACCATTCACAGTCCGCCTCAACAGAGCCTTAAACTCAAAAACGGATAGAGGAGAAACACTTTTTCTTCACTTTGTTCATGATTCCCAAGCTGATGCTTTTCATGTCACAATCGCTTCTAGCACTCTGAGAGAATACAGAGGACGCATGGGCTTTGGGTCCTGATGGAGCGATATCAGAATCCTTGCGGTAACACATAACTAGCCATGTGACCTTGACCAAGTTACTTAAGTCACCATATCGTTATCTACAGAACAAGAATATCTACCTTGTTGGGGGCAGGGTGGGGATTAGAGATAATGTATATAAAATGCTTTGTGCGCTTTTTTTTCTTTTTTCTTTTTTATTCCTATACATATTCTGCTTATGTATGTGTGCTTTTAAATAGGACTCACGCAGTAGTAATATTCTTTCACATGCTAAACATACGTTATCTGTATCTAAAAAGAATGCTGCTGCTTTACCTGTAATACAAAGTGTGTTTCAATTTGGTTTTGAGTAGTTGAAGTAATTTTGTACCAGTACTAAGACCCTGGGCTTTATGGAAGATACTCTCTGAAGTTGGCGGAGGGTGGGGGCGGGGGGATGGCGGGGAGCAATCAGAAACAAAGCTAATTTGTTCCAGTGGGGATAGATCTTCCAAGCCCCTGCCACTCAAGCATGGTCTATGGACCAGTGGCATGTGGCCTCCCCTGGGAGGCTATTAGAAATGCAAAATCTTAGCCTGCCTGCTCCTTTCTTCCAGACCCACTGAATTCAAATCTGCATTGACAAGATCCCCATGTATATGTTAACATTTGAGAAGCACTGCTGTAACCTGTTATTTCAGTGTCCCAGAGAATCATTTGGGGGCTTGTTATGATAAATGTGGATTCCCAGTCAAGCTTCCCTCATCGGCTGTTAAACAGCATCTCAGGTAGCTCTGATGCCTAGGGTCTTCCACTGCTATCAAACTGTCCCCTACTGTGCTCTAAAATGAATCTCTGTCCTCTTCCTTCCCAAAGCACCTTGGTAACTATGATCTTATGTGATATTCAGCCCCCTTTGAGATAAATAGATATTATAATCTTCATCTGACTGATAAGGACTGCAGGCATGATTTGCCCTGGATAGATGAGTATGTTAGAACTGCCCTGGAGCCTCTGTAAATACCAGGTTACCACACTTGTACTGTTCTAGCAGTTTACTGTTTAGTATTCTAGCATCAAATTAACATAGTTTTTGGTTTTTTGGCCTGTAAGTAATTTTCACAAATAACTAATGAATCTCTCCAGGCCAGGGAAGACTACATGTGATAGTGCATTTTATACCTGTTTTTTATAACAAAGCCTGCCTTCTGTGTGACTGTAGACCAGTTACTTAAGATAATTGATCCTAAACTTCTTCATGAAATGAATATAAATCATTATGTCCACTTGGCAGTATTGTGAGTATACTCAGTGATATGGGTGAAGCATAGACTCCAGTGTCTGAGAAGTGGCTGTTGCTCCATTAGTGGTAACTACCTGTCTCCTTGTAAACCTAGTGAGATAGAATGAGTTCATGAAAAGCTGGGGAAATGATACCCTGCATCACTCATGATGGGAATCATCTGTCTCTCTTGCTAAGTCAGATGACGTCATCCCTCAGGCCTTTGACCAAATCAGAGAAGTGGGATGACTTGGTATTTAACAAGTAGTGGTTGTATATGTGTCATGTGTTATGCACTGTGTTAAATGCTCAGAATCCCAAGACTCAGACCCTACCATGCTCTGGAGGAGCCTACAGCTGAGTAAGAGAGAGAGAGGAGTCAACTGACAATTGCGACAATTGCCTTTCAGGCAAAGCAGGGAGGAGATAGAAGCACAGGTGGTAGTGAAGCCCAGGGCAGGGGCATCCCACCTAGAAAGGAGAGAGGGCAGAGAAAACCTGAGATGCTTCTTGGAGGAGATTGCCCTTGAGTTGAGCCTTAAACAACCAATAGGAATTCGGCAGGTAAATAAGGCTTGGGAATGGGGAGAAGGAGCATTCCCCACTTCCAGCCATGTGTATCTGTATATACAAAAGTCAACAAGTAAAGGAGAGAGTACTAGCAAATAGTTCTCACGTTTGGAGCCCAATGTGTATGCATGTCCCTTACTAGCTGAGTGGTCTTGGACAAGTTTGATCATCTGCGATTCAGGATTAGATGCACTAATCAGTGTAAGCATAGGACTGATTCCAATTTGTTGAATGGTTGTAGAGGTGGCGGCGGTATTAGTAGAAAATAGGGGACTATTATTAAAAAGTCAGTAGAATTAGAGAACATTGCAGAGTTCAAGTTTAGAATACATTTAGTAGAAAATACATGAATTAAGAGAGTGACTGAAAAAGGCAACTGAACGTATTATAATTCTGTGGAGCGGAAAACATGAGGTGTATGTGTTCAGTGATGGACCACTGAATATATAGAAGTGATTGTTAATTTTCAGAGTCTGGATTGGAGACTAGAAAAGTCTTCTGGTTCTAGGTAATGAAAGTATTTGTACAAGAAGTGACTCGTTTAAGTATTGCAACAATGTTCCAGGAGTATGCACCTTGAAATCTGTCTCTTACCGTCATCATGATCACACTCACTCCCACATCTTTGCTCCCAGAACAGGGCATAGACATCCATGTCTGAAACCTAGGGGAAATCCAGCCTTCTCTGTGATGTTTCCTGGGTAGAGCATTCTAAGCCAGAGACCAAGAAGCTGATTTTTAGAAATAGTGCCCCCTCTCCTTGGTCATAGGAACCCTGACAACCATCAAGGGAGAAGTCAATCAGCAGTTGCAGGTTTTGTTGTGCACAGTAACACCATATTGGCAGTGGATTTGGGACTAACCCAGCACCTAAGCCTGTGACTGGGGGAGATTGTTTTTATAGAAACACAGCCCCATTCATCAACCTCCTTTCATCCGAGAGTAGAGCCGAGTAGTTAAAA